ATGGTAAGCAGGTGTGTGTGCAAGCGTGTCCGTGCATGTGTGTGAGAGACCAGCCAGCCAGTCCCGCCGTCCGCCCTGCACTGTGTGGGACCAGCCACTAGAGGGAGCGCTGCGCCCACACATGCAGGGACTGGTCCAGCAGGCAGCCAGTCGTGAGCCTCCGGCATCTTCATCTGACACCTTCTACCTTTCAGATTTTGTAGCCACACACCCCTGGGCTTAACTGCAGTTCTCACTACTTCCAAGGCCTGTGACCTTGGCCAGGTTACCCAACAGCTCTGTGACCCAATTTCGCCCTCGGTAAAATGGGCACACCCATGGTTCCAACCTTCTGAGATTGTTAGCAGCCCGAATGAGGTCGTGCCTGGGACACACGGTGCCACACTGGGGGGTGCCGACCCGATGTGATGGTGGAAGAGCTTTTTCTGTTGCCTCTGTCTCTCTCTGCTTCTCAAAAGCAGCCCCCCTGGCCCAGCCCAGATCCAGGAAAGTGGAGATGGGCTTTCTGGGTGTAGAGGGTGGTCTCTAGGGCAGGGACAAGGAGAAGCCCAGCCGTCTTCCCTTCCTGCTCAGTCGTGCTGGTTCTCTTGTCTTGGAGCAAATCTCACCTTATGGCTTATTCCTGGTCATGGTCTCACCCTACTGGCCACTGTACCTTCTTATCCTCCTCTGGGATGCCCAAGAGGCCACACCTACCCTTGCCTGGCACCACATCATCCCTGATGCAGTGCCGCTGCCTGGTATCCAAGAGGCTCGGAGAGGGTGTTCTTTCCCAGTCATTCCCCTATCTGCCCCCCACCCCGGCTCCTGCCCACACCAGTCAAGAGCTGGCTTATCATGTTGCACCCTAGGGAGATCTGTGTTTCCCAGTCTGCAAACACCCCAGGTGCAGAGGTTTCCATGGGAAGGAGGCCCACAGAAGCAGCCCCTCTGTCCTGTCTTCGGGCTCACAAAGGAGTATAGCCTGCCCTGACATTAAACACTAATTTGCCAATATTGTTAAAAGCAGGGCATTACTTCCTATGATCTAGAGTTCCAACTTCCCTTGAACAACTGGAGGCTCTGAGAGCCTGAGTTTACATTCCCATGTGACAACAGTAGGTCGCAGGGGAGAGGAGGCCACCCTCGCAGTGAGCCAGGGCTCTCCGGTTTACCACTCTGTGGCCCCCAACCACAGTCCCTCCCTGGGCCTGCTGTGAACATTTCAGTCTGTGGCCCTGAGCCTGAGAGTTCCTGGAAACTTTTCACGACGCGTACGCTGGCCTGAGGATGGGAGTGCTCCCCAAATGACAGCAGACCCTCAAGGGCAAGGAATCCTGGGGACCAGAGAGCTGCTTGGTGTCCTCACTGGTTCGTGGTCCAGATGCCCAGGGTAAACTACACACACACACACACACACACACACGCATGCACCCATCACCCCCATCGTCCAATCTGCCAGCAGATCCACTTGCCCCCACCTTTCCTCCACTGCCCTCGTCCAACTGTCCAAGTTATTGTCCTCTCTCACCCAGCTGGGTGCAGGAACCTCCTCATTTCTCCTCCCCCTACCCCAAGAGGCTGTCTGCCCCACAGCAGCCAGTGGGACCCTGTTAAAGCCTAAGACATAGCTTATTCCTCCTCTTCTCAAAACCCAGTGACTCCCACCTCACTCAGAATCAAAGCCAAAGGCTTATGGTGGCCCCGAGTGAACTGTCCCTGTTACCTCTCCTCCCCTCCTGTGCTTTACCAGCCTCCTCATTGTTCCTGACATCCCAAGCACACTCTGGCCCCAGGGCCTTTGCACTGGCTATTGCTCCTGGCCGGCCTCCTGGACTCTGCCCCCCCATAACTGCACGGCTCCCTCCCTCAACTTCATCAAGCTTCTGCTCAAATGTAACCTTCTCTATGAGGATTTTCCTGTTCTTCCCGTCCCTCTTGGCTTTGGTTCTTCCCTCACATGAATCCCTTGAAGCATAATTATTTATTTAGGCACCCTGTTTGTTGTCTTGCCCCCCTCTTTGCTCCCCACTGGAACGGATGAGGGCAGAGACTTTTTTCTGATTTGTTCATTGCATAGAGGAAGCACTCAATAAATATATGGTGATTAAGTGAGTGAATGAACAAATGGGAAAAATGAGGACAACAAGTGCACGGAGGGGCTGTGCGGACTATCAGATTGTGTGTCACTCAGGGCATGACCGGTGCCATCACTTAGAGCCCCGAACTTCGATTTGCTGCTCTGTAATTAGCATCTTGCAATTCTTAATAACTTCATCCTAGAATTTGTAAGTAAAGGCTGCTGGGACCATAGAGCGTGTGCCATGCACCATCCCGCCCTCCCACGTCCGCTGCATGGGCTCCCAGCTACCCATTCTGTGCTCCACGCAGTCACCACTGCTGTCCTTGGTGTCCCAGAGGCCTGGGTGCAGCCAGGTCCCACACTGAGTGTGTAGTGCGGTGGCCCCAGGCAGCTGTGAGGGGCTGCACTGGCGCATCGCGTGTCCCCATGCCCAATGGAGCATGACACTGAACAGTAACTAAACAAAAACCCTCAGGACGGGCTGAGAGAGAGAGAGCTGGGTAGAAGGGAAAAGCTTTTGTTCTGCTTTTTTTTTAAGATTTTATTTATTCATGAGAGACACAGAGAGAGAGAGAGAGAGGCAGAGACACAGGCAGGGAGAGAAGCAGGCTCCATGCAGGAAGCCCAATGCGGGACTCGATCCCAGGACCCCAGGATCATGCCCTGGGCCAAAGGCAGGTGCTAAACCACTGAGCCACCCAGGGATCCCCTTGTTCCGCTTTCTTAGCAAGAGGCCCACATTCTGTGGCTGGCCCTCGTATCATGTACTCACACGTCACCAGTGCTAAGGGCTCTACCCTCAGGAACCATGGTGGTGGCAGTGGAGGTGGTTATTGAGGATTCCACAAGCAGAACTGGGCTCAAGCAAGAGAGGGCCCCTAGCCTCTGGGAACATCTGGCTTCAGGCCTGGAAGAGAACATTCCCTTGACATCCCCCAAGACCCTGCCTCCTGGATATGTGCTGTGAGCAGGAGGCTGAGGATGAGCCAGGGCAAGCTCTTTCCTCCCTGGCCTCAGTTGCCACATCTGTGAGCTGGGACAAGAGCCCCACACATCTCCTTGCTGGCAGTGACAGCTGGAATGCTTTGCAAACTTAAACACGGTGGGAGATGTGTGTGGCACACAGGGATTGCCATGGTTGTTCTGAAAGGTTCCTGGGTCAGGGCTCAATTTCTGTCCACATCCCCCAAAGGAACCTAACTTTAACCCCAAAGGGATAGGTGACAGGGGACCAGCCCTCAATATGACTTCAGACCCAGATGTCAATAGTATGGGCCTTGGAGAGGGCGTCAGATCTTGATGGTTAAGTTCTAACCAATCCCTGGGGTGGCTGCACACCCGATAGCCACTCAGGTCTTGGTAGTGGCCTCAGACCCCGATAGTGGCCGCAGACAGACCCTAGTGACACCTGGGAGGCACAAGGCATCTCAGCCCCCCTCCCTCCATCCTGCCTAAGCCCCTATCCCTCCCCAGCCATTAGAATTTGAGCCATTCTCCAAGATCCACTTAATTAGCCAAGCTCATTAACTCCCACAGGCTTCTCCTCCCCACCTAATTAACTGACTTAATTAGGGCTGGTAGTCCCGGCTCCGCCCAGCCCCCTCCTGCTCCACCCAGCCCACCTCTTCCAGGCCTGGGCTCAGCCAAGCCGCCAGCATGCTGGAAATAGATGGGGGGGGGGGGGGTGGCCTGGCCCTTCTAGCACCCAGACCTCTGCCCTGTGTCCCTTCCCTTCCCCTCAAGCCGCCCCCCCCCCCCGCAGCAGCCCAACCCCACCATTGCCCCTGGACACCAGAATGGCCCCTCCTGGGCAGGGCAGCAGCTCGTAGGCAGGAATAGATAGAAATCAGGAAATTGTGATGGGGAGGGGAAGTGGGAGAGAGCTGGGAATGAGGTAGAACGGAACTGGGGGAGAGGAGGAGGTGAGGACGGCTTGGCTGAGATGGATGGGCTAGGCGGCGCGGTGGTTGGGGGCCCAGACCCTGGAGTCTGCTTGGGTTCGAGTCCCTGCTAGGGTGTGAACTTCAGCAAACTCGTCGCCTTTCTGTGTCTCAGACATGATGACAACAGACTCACTGTAGGGTTGTTGTGACGTCTGAATGAGTTAATATGTGTACGATGCTGAGGACTTGACCAGGCACTAATCTGTGATTGTGAAATAAGCAGGCAGGGATGAACAGAGGTTCCCTGAGAGCTAGAAGCTGGAGGAAGGGATGGGATGGCCAGAGGGTCTTGTCCCCGGGGGTCAAGGAGACCCCCTCCCCAGGCAGGCTCTGGAGTGCCAGCAACAGATGGAAGCTGCCTACTGGGCAGAGCCCTTGGCCGGGGAGACGTTAAAGGGAGAAGAACACAGTGTCCATTCCTACTCCAGGGATGGAAGAGGCGGGCTTTGTTGTTCAGGACCTCTATAGCTCGTGTCTCGGTTTCCCCATCTGGGGGAAGGCCTAGCCTTGTGGAAGTACCTGGTATGTACCCTAGATACCTAATGAATGTCCAGAGACTCATCCCTGAGAAGAGAGGTGACACGAAAACCATTTGGGGGGGCAGGTGCTCAGCTGCCCTTCACCTCTGCTGGGACCAAAGCAAGGAGAGTACACTGTGCTGGCAGCAGGCAGGATGCAGGTCAGACACGAAGCAGAGCTCCCTAGAGTTGAGGGCTATGGTCTCCGGAAGGTGGGAAAAGGAAGTGTGTCTGAGCTGCTGAGCAGGCTCTAGGGGAGACACGGAGGTTGATACCCGTGAGTGAGCATGAACCGAGGAGCAGGGGCCTGAACACTGAGATGGCCCTTTACCTACGTAGCCCCTGCTCACCCCTTGCCATCCCAGCGCAGCCGTCACTTCCTCCAGAAAGCCCTGACCTTTGTCTCTCCTTTGTAGTCTGATCTTGGGCAGAATTTGACATTTATTGGTATGATTAATACAGTGTCTCCCCCACTAGGCTGGAAGCTCCTGAAGACAAGGACAGTCTGTGTAGCTCATCTATTTACCCTAATGCCCCTTTACGGTAGGTGCTCATTATCAAGTGTGAATGAATGAATGCATGAATGAATGAATGAACGAATCAATGCATATATGCCCTGGCCTAGAACCCAGAGGTTCCTGAAGCTTAAAGGGAAAGGGTCCCCATGTGGCAGCCGAGGAACTCACCTTCGTGCTCTGCCATGAACACCCCCAACTCCTCAAGTGGCCCCAAGAACAAGTGCCCTGGGGAGCAGAGGCTGAATTCTAGGCATCTGAAACCCCTGCTCCTGGGCAGGCTGAGCGCCCTCTGAGAATTCCCTTTCACAACCTGCATGCTGAGGAAATAGTGAGTATGGGGATAGATGGCAGGATCTTTCATTTACCCCTGCATTTTTAAACACTGCAGAAATCCACATTTATACACAGTATAAAGAACTTGGAGTTGTGAGTGGCAGAGACCCAAGTCCAACGGACTTAAGCACAAAAGGAACTTTAGGGCGGAACATACCCCAAAAGTCCAGAGTCTTCAGGTATAGCTGGATCCAGGGGCTTAAATAATGGCATGAGGACTTTGATTCTTCATCTCTTGGCTCTGCTGTCTACTGTTCTGGCTTCACCCCCTGGGAGGGTCTCTCTGGTAATATGAACTCCAGACTTACATCTCTCTATCTTCCAGTTCAGTGGGAAGAGAGTTCTATCCTATTGGCCTGGCTTGGGGTACAGACCTATCTCACAAACATCAGGGTGGCCAGGGGGCTGACGTACACTAATTGGTGGGCACTGGGTCCCAAGTCCACTCCTACAGCCAAACGGATGAACCCCTCCTCCCCCCAACAAGGGGGAAAGATATGTCAAGGAATAGGGGTCCCCAAGGGAGAACTGGGGTTCTGTTGCTAAGAGATGGGGGAGAGCTGATGCTGGAAAGAGAGTTCTACTCTACTTGGACTACGTGAGTGTCATGCCAGCCCCAGGGTACCGCAGTAAGTGCTAGCCATGGTGTCACACACTGTCGCTTCCTCACCCAGTCTTCCTGGGCCCCTCCTCCACTTCTACTTGCCAGCATCCTCATCACCTTTTCTAGGGGCCTTATCTGATCCCGTGTGCTCTGCCCACATCCACAGCACTGCCTGCCTCCGCGGGAGCTCTCACTGGTGACTGACAGGAGCTGGGGTATAATACGTGCTCTGTGCATGTAGACACACATTCTACACTTGTCTCTGAGAGCTCCCCAGTGGGATTCCCTTCCTATTGCCCACAGCGATAATTTGCTTGGCATTGCCTTCCTGGCTCACTTCTCCCCTCCCCTACCTGAGATCACCTACCAAATAAACCACTTCCTTTCCAATTCCTGTCTCAGGGTCTGTTTCTGGGAAACCCAAACTAGGACATCATTAAATCCAGACCCCTGGGGATGTGTACTAGACAGCACTTGTCTCCTTCCAAATGCCTGTGTTCCTGGGGATGGCGTTGGCGATCCATCCCCAAAGAAGGAACTGGGAGTGAACAAGCTCTGAGCAGCCCTGACTCTGTTGTGAGGATTCCAGAGGATGCTTCTTCCTCCCCTGCAATAAGCGTGGGGGTGGGGAGGTGAGCACCTACCAGATCCTGGCTCCACAACTTCCCAGAGAAACAGCCACATCCAGCCCTGAGGCCTAAGATGTCAGGGGCCAGGGAGCCAAACTATTTTTCAGTCCTGTGTTTCTCAGAGTACAAGGTGAGATCATTTTAGAGAATTCCTGGATTTTCCTTTAGGAAACACAGAATCACATACTGCGAAACCTATTCCTTTTCTTCTCCCCTTTCCCCCCACACCGGATCTCATTTAAAAAGACTTCCACCAAGTAATTTTTAATTATTTTGAAAACTGTAAAAGAAAATAGAGAAAAGTATAAACCTGTGCATATCCACAACTAGAATCAATGTTAACATTTTGTCATATTTGTGTCAGATGTTCTTTTAAAGATTTATTTATTCATTTGAGAGAGAGAAAGCAGAGCATGCATGCAAGGGGGGGGAGGGGCAAAGGGAGAAAAAAACCTTCAAGCTGACTCCCCGCTGAGCAAAGAGCCCAGGGCCCCCACAACCCATGAGATCATGATCTGAGCCCAAACCAAGAGTCGGATGCTCAACTCACTGAGCCACCCAGGGGCGCCCCCCCCCCCCGCCGGTGTCAGATATTTTTAAGAAAAAAAGAAAAAACATGACACAGAAAGATGAGTTCCCATTATCCACCCCGACCCCAGGCCCATTTCCTGGATTCCATCTCCAGGAGCAACCACTCTCATGATTTTAGAGATATTCTTCTCATATCCGTTGGCAAGCTTTCAGCTACAAGGAGCAGAATTCCCTTCAAAGCCACTCCAAGTACAACTCAGCAGCTTGGCAATGTCATAAAGAAGCAGGTTCTTTCCTCTCTGCAGTGCCATTATACTGTACTTCCCATCATCAGTGGCATCCTGCTGGCCGCGGTCACAGAGTTGTATTTTGACGCGGGAGGTGGGGAGCTCATCAGGACTCTTGCTGGAACACTGTGTTTCTCACTTCAGAATATATTCTCCAAAAAGGTAATGAGAGATTTAAAGATCCATCACCTCCAGCTGTTGTACATCCTGGGCTGCTCTGCTGTCTTCCTTCTGATCCATCTTGGGTTCTGGTGCAACTGTTGGTTTTCGTTATTGGCAATAGCTTGACCCTTGTCTCCTGGTGGCGCTGGATACTCCCGTTCTTGACTGTGACCAGCTTCCATAACCTTTGCTCAACATGTCATTATGATCTTCAGTTTCCTAAACGTGATCTGCTCTCTGAATGAACCAGTTACCAGTGCCACCAGGATCTCTGACCACACTGGTGAGTTGGTCACCAGTGTCAGTGTCCTGGGCGTAATGGTGGCTGTCAGAAGGTTCTCCCTGCACTATTGTAATGTGGACCAACAAGCCAGGAATGCCTTCTCTTTGTCGTGACTGGGGTCATGAGCAACAAGGAGCATCGTACAACATAGACCAGACTGGGGAAATCCCCAGACACCATCATGACCTCCAGCATGGGGACTACCGATATGGCCAAGACATCACTTTCCATACAGCTAGGAGAGTCACCCAAACTCAAATAGTTTGAAACATGATGTATACATTCTAGGGGACAAGAACTCTGTTTTGATTCCTTCCCCAACCCCAACAGTAGCAAAAACTTCTGATACATCAGTGAACATAAGATGCAGCCAAAGGGACACCTGGGTGGCTCAGTGATTGCGTGTTTGCCTTTGCCTCAGGTTGTGATCTAGGGACCCAGGATCGAGTCCCACATCAGGCTCCCTGTGGGGATCCTGCTTCTCCCTCTGCCTATGTCTCTGCCTCTCTCTCTCTCTGTCTCTCATGAATAAATAAATAATATCTTTAAAAAAAAAGATGCAGCTAAAAGGAAGTCTGGGACAGATTCCTGGCCCCACGGTCCATGAGCCAGGAGCAGCAAACTGACAGCCCAGGAGTGTGAGGACATGCCAGCATTGAAGAGGGTATGGGCCCCAGGCAGAGGAAACCTAACTGATTATCTGTTTTCTGATGTTTTTTCTGTGTTGTTATGGAGATCATAGCGACGTTTTATCTTTGTGTTCTGCTATCCAGATCATACCCACCAAGACCCTCTCTGGAAGGCCAGCATTGCTGTGGGTGCAAAACTTTGAGCTGGCAAGAGTGGATTATCCCCAGGTGTCAAGGGAAAAGGACTGCAGCATTATGAATAGCTGTTTTAGTTCCTCTGTTCAGATGTGTTGTGTTGGTTCATTTCTCCAAGAAGTGGGCCAAGATGGGGTCAGATGTGTAAGCAGCTATCTTATTGGGAGAAAACGCTTGGGTAGGAAAATCAGAAGGGAGCCAAAGGCGGCTGGGTGAACGATGAGGCTCAATAAATCTAATGCATGGAAGAGGGAAAGAAGGAAGGAAGGTGAGATAAGAATGTTAAGAGAGTTTGATGAAGCCAATGGGAAGGCCTTGATCCCCAGCTGCCCATCGGGGACGCTCTGTGTCTCTAGGGATCTGGGCACTTCTGTGTCTTCGAGGCACTCAGTCATTGATGGGGATCAGCTAGAAGGGAGCAAAGTGGAGACTTCTTTGTGAACTCTGGAGAGCCTCCACCACTGTTGCTCTGGGCAGTCACCATCCCATCCCACCATCCCCTGCGGTCTGGATGGTCCATTTTCATGGCTGCCACATCCCATCCTTCTGGCCACACAGCTCCTCCATGGGTGCCTCCAGTCTCTCTCTCTTTAAAGATTTTATTTATTTATTCATGAGAGACACAGAGAGAGAGGCAGAGATATAGGCAGAGGGAGAAGCAGGCTCTTCGCAGAGAGCCCAATGCTGGATTTTATCCCAGGACCCCAGGATCACGCTCTGAGCCAAAGGCAGACACTCAACCACTGAGCCTCCCCGGTGCCTCTCAACTTGGCAGGTCCTGAAGGATCACTCGGTGGTGTGATCCAAGGTTTCCCTCCTGAGGGGTCTAAAACTCTTGGTTATCATAACCAATGGATCACTCTAATGGATCACTGGGTTCCACATGTATTTGTCCCTGCTCTCCTTTTGTAAAAGCAGCCCTGCCTTCTTCTAGTAACTGATCAGGGTACTTCTGTAGTAACTTCTAGAAAGTAATTAGCTTCAATGATTGCTGCCAGAGAAGTGACTCTTCTTGCCTGCTGGTTATGAACACATGGCACCCAAAATGCCCTGGCAGCAGCTGCAGCTTAAATGTTGATGGGACCCTTGATGGGACCCCTTATAAGAGTGTGCCCCCTTTGAGGACCAGGACTTCTCACTCTGCAGAGCCTAGGGTGGGGGGAAGGGGACTTAAATACCCACCATGCATTTTGGCCAACGTTTTCTAACTGCATTGTGGATAATCAAATTCCTAGGCAAGGAATCTGGGAAGGATTCCATCCGAAGTGGCCTTGATAACCTTTGATGACCACGGTTGGGAGCATTTCAAGGCCAGATTCTGTTCCTGCCCTTCTCCAGGCCTCCGTGTTTTTGTTTTGTTTTGTTTTGTTTT